CACACACACACACACACACACACACGCACACACACACACACACGCACACGCACACGCACAGAGCATCTTTTTTAAGCCATCAGGTCTGGGACTTGAACCACTAAGTTGGCCAGGTGAGATTTAGTCACATTAACTACCATGCTACCAGCTAGCCCTTTGGGTGATTTTATTACAATTTTAAATTCTCAAAAGCCAGTACCAGCAGTTGGCATAATGGCTATGTCGATGGACTCCTATGTAGTTGACCACTGTTCGAGTCCCAGACCCGGTGGCTTAAACTCACCAGGGCACTTATGCGTGTGTGCGCAAGATCCCAAGAGGAGAATGGAGGAGAAGGGATTGCGGCGTGGCCATCCCCCCGGGGGGTGATTTCTTGCTTTCTGTCTCTCTGTCGCTCTCTGTCTTTCTGGCGAGCACACGCGCCCTATAGCAAAAACCTCTCAAAAAACAAACAAAAAAATCTCAAAAGCTGAGATCCCACTTGTTGCTGACATTAAGGGTAGTGGGCCATTCCAACCACCCTACTCCCCCTTTCGGTGTGCTCCTGTCTCTGAGCCTAGGTTCCAGAATCAGCAGAAGACAACGCCCGCCTTAACGAGATGTTTTGAGAGGGTGAAATGACAATCCGAGTGAGTTTCACTGGCCCAGGGTCCGAAATGGAACGCTGCACTTCACACAGGCTCGTTTTGTTCTCTTGTCTTTTCTTCTTCCTTCTCAAAGTGGTACCAGAACCCAGTGTCCATAGATTAGCCAGTGTTTATCCTGTGGTTTTCCTGTCTACACCAACACTGTTCAGCTCCCCATATCACCTCTTACTTGCATGAGAAGTAGGAGGTTTGTTTGGTTTTTCTTGGAGAGATTTTTGATACAGGGCATATGCACTCATCAGAGAGACAGAGACAGAGAGCGAGAGCTCACTCCTCAGGGGATGGCCACACGTAATCCCTTCTCCTCCATTCTCCTTTCAGGACTTTGGGCATGCACGCACATGTGCCTGGTGTGAGTTTAAGCCACCGAGTCTGGGACTCGAACTGCGGTTGACTACGTGTTAGTCCAGCGATGTAACCATTACACCATCTGCTGGTCCCAAAGGTGATGTTTATACTTTCCATCAGGATATAGAGAATGAAAGGGTTTTCAAGAACAGCTGGTAGTGACCGTGGCAGAGCAGTCTGGGTGAGTGAGTCCATGCACCCTCCTTCCCCAGGCCAGGCCCAATGCCTTAGCATAGGGTAAACTGCCCCTCCCTTGGCAGAGGGTCTGTCCAACCACCCCTGTCCTCCACTTCACCCAGCCTTACCCTCCAGTTCTTAGCTCAAGAAGCTGTGCTCTCTCTGGCTTCTGTGCCTTGCTACTCCTTCTAGTCAAAATACCCAGATACCTGGGGCCAGTAGGTGGCATGGGGGTTAAAGTGCTGGACTCCCACATGGCCCACTGCGGTTCAAGTCCCAGACCTGGCAACTTGCTTTCTCACTTTCCCTGTCTCTCTCTGGTCAAGTCAATAATAATAATAAATAAATAAATATAAACAAATAATTCTTTTTTTTGGAGAGAGAGACTTTTTGCTCTAGGGTGTATGTGCTTACCAGAGAATTCTCTCAATGTAAAACTATGTTCATAGACATAGTGTGTGAATTTTCAAAACCTATTTCTTCTTCAGAACTAAGAAAAAACAAAAACCCTTGCCCTTAATTTCTAGTGACAAGTAAATATGCATAAAATATTTATTTATATATTGTTTTTATTTGTTTTTTATTATGGAAAATTTCAGACATACCCCAAAATAAACGGTAGAGTTACTCCTCTCCTCACAGCCATCCTCAGTCTTCGACATTATTTCTATATCACCAATTCTGTTTCATCTATACCGATACTTTTTTCCTCCCCCAACCAGATCATTTTATTTAAATCTAATCAGGGAGGGACAGCATGAGAGAAAGAGAGAGGGAAAGTGAGAAGCAAGCTGCCAGGTCCAGGTTCAGGGTGTGCCATGTGGGAATCCAGCATCCCTAACCATCACGCCACCTGCCGGCCGGCAGCCAGATCCAGATAGCATATTATTTCATCTCTAAATACATTCGCATTTATCTTTAGAGATTAGAATTTTTCTCATGGAACTGCAATATCATTTTAACACCTAAAAATATATATGATTCCTTAATATTATATAATATTCCATCGATATTCAAATTTTCCAAATGTCTCATAAATGTGTTTTAGCAGTTGGTTTATATTAATTAGGATAGAATAAGCTCCATCATTCCATTTGATTGATATGTCTTTTAACCTGCCACTGTCCCCCGACCCCTACTTTGATTGCCAGAGGATATATGTGCTCAACAGAGACAGACAGGGGTGGGAAGAAAGCACCCCCCAGTGGGGCACCGTTGTGCTGCGGTCCCTTCTCCTCTGTTGTTCTTCCATGGGACTTGGGGCTTGCATATTCACATGCCCCGTATCTTCTCCAAACTGCAGCCGACCATGTGAGATCTGGCTCCCTTAGCCACTGGGCTACAGGGCTGACTTCCTCACCTCTTTTTTATTGCTATTTATTTGTCAGAGAAACTGAGTAATCTGTCTTAAAGACTTTCTCACATACTGGATCTGGCTGACTACATCTTGAACTTGTGGAACGTAACATGTATAAAGTGTTTGAATTCATTTCCGTCACTATTCTTTCGATGACCAGATTGTCACATCTCTGGCCAGTGGGAGCTCCTTCTGATTTACTCTAGTCTCCTTGATCCAACCGTAGTATTCTTTGAGGATTGTCAAGGTTCATTTTTGCATTTCCTGCCCCAGATCTGGAACCAGACCTTCCTTTGAAGAGCACCAGTTCTTTTCATTGGAAAATGGTGTTTGAATTTGAGGGAGTGGAACATTCTAATAATATGTTATTGTCCACTTGGTAGAGTTAGTCTCCTTCTGTTATTTTTCTGTCATCCTCCTCTTCATTTCTCTTCAGCCTGTAATGGAGAGGTTCAGGGCACAGCTACTCCACTGTGTGTGGGAATGTGGGCAAAGTCCCGGGATTTCTGTCTTGTTCGTTCCCCAAAAGCGTGAACCCTGTAGGGCAGAGCTCTGAGTCAAAACTGGGGCTGTCCTGTTGTGAGAAGTTCGTGTGGGATAAATCCCAGGATCAAATGGGACATTGTAAGAGCATCTAGTCACCATTCTGCTTCCAAGCCTGACTCACTAATTTAAAAATCCCTGGCATTTGAAAGTCCTTATTTAAGCTATTTAGCAATATGTTGTATTCAATAACAAAAGTACAACCTTGTAGAAAAACCTGAAATAAGTGAAATTTAGCAAAAAGTATTTAGTTAGAACTGACCTGAGGACCTGCGCTGCTTTTATTGTGAAACTATAGCTTAACAACAAAAACAGGGATGAATTACAAGAGCTTTTGGTGTGCTGGCGGGCACTTTCTCTGTGACCTCAGAACTGCTAGGACAGGAGGAAAACTCAGATTCTCAAACTCAAATTTCACCCTCAGGGACTTGAGCTAGTTGGAAATCTCTGGTCACTGTCTTGGTTTCATTCTTTCTTCTGGTATATACTTAGAAAAAGAGACTATTTTGCTGACATTTAACTTTGCAAAAAGTGGACTATCTCACCTACAGGGGCAAGGAAAGGGAACACCTCAGGCAGTGATATTTAATCAGGGGATTATGCATTCTTCCTGGGTTCTAGCCTATGAAAATTGCATGTTTCCCTGGGTATAATGTTACCATCATAAACACGGCACTGCCTGAGAAGGCCAGGGAAAACATTTTGGAAAACAAATACTTATTGCCAAAGTACTAAATACATAGTAAAGCTAATGACTGTTTACTTTTAGACCAAGTCGTATTATCTACAAAGCTTAGCTATGAGTGGTTTTCAGATTGTAGCACTCTTCCAGGTAACTTCTTGATTCCTGATGATGCCACACATTACTTGAGCATGTTTGTGTGTTCGTGTGCACA